TGCGGCAGCAGCAGTACCCCACAAACTTATTATTGAATTACTCAGTGGCCTAACTATTTGCTATTATATTGAGTAAAGCAGTACAATTTGCGCAAGTGCCCTTCAGCTCATCGGGCTTCCAATCTGAACTAATGCGTCCTATCTCGCGTTCTAGTGCGGAAGGTCAGATTCTTGGGTGAGTTTGGGTGACCCCAACAACGTTTTCCTTTTTTTAAAAGAAAATTGAGAATGCACGATAAACAATCCACACCTCACAACATATTGTCTAATCAATAGTATTTAAAAAATTTATAATCAATTTTGAAAAAAAAAAAAATTACCGCAAAATTCCAAGAGATAGCCCAACTAACATCAAGAGAAAATCGGGTGAAAATATGGAGTGGGCTATTTTTGGTGTACAACAAAGAAAAGTAAAAAAATTGCTATATTTAGGTTGTGTCTTTTCCAAGCTTGTTTTGGTGGGCTTGGAGCAATGAAACAATGATGACAACGTTGCTGACTTCCTAGTCAGCAACGTTTGTTTATATCCAGCCATAGCTAACTAGTCACATTTACGCTAAGGCCCATCATTGATTCCGACACTAGTATTTCTAGGAGTGGGCTATCTGAAGCCTAAAATAGGGGTAGGCTATCTTTCAAGGGTGGGGTATCTCTCGGGATTTTAGAGTATTTCCTTGCTTTTGTGTGTAACATATTGCAAATCACTTATGGGAGGACTATGATTGGTCTGGTTGCTTCAGGAGTTCAGCTCTGCCCCACCACATTCCCATCTGTAATCTCCAAGAGTGATTTGAGTCTGAGGCGCGGTTGAACTTTGAACTCAACGGAAGTACAAAGTGTGGCAACACAAACAAGCGATTGCCGTATTTTTTTTTTCCACAGCTAAACTGTGCACTAGTCTTAGGCTACAGGTTGCGTTATTTCACACTCCAGGTGTAAACAGGAGGGAAAGACATGTTGGCGCTATGTTTCACGGTGTGCGTGTCATTTAAGCTTAACCATAACGCTAATATGAAGTCTTCATGAATCGATTTGCATCCCCCTTTGTGCACAGCGAGTCCTTCGTAATGTGACTTCTCGTTTGTCCTTTCAGTATTTGTCAATTTGTAGCTCTAAACTCTACCACTGACATATGACCTTTGTTTTCTACAGAAAAGATGATCACCTTAAAAACGTCAAGGCGCGATGGCTTGACATTGACACAAAACATAGGACCGCCTGCCTGCCCTGCTCCACCCCTTCCCCCCCCCCCCCCCCCCCAACCTTGTCTAATTGCCTCATAAATGACAAGGATGGATATTATGGTCAAAGCAGTGAAAAGTCAAGAGGGTATGGAAGAGGACGTACTGAGCAAAAATTTAAAGCACAAAGTGTTGTACAATATCTTTCACAAAGGCTTATATGTCATATGTGCGTTACAACTAGGGATGTCGTGAACCGCTGAGGTTCCAGTTACCACCAGGTTTGACTTTTCCCAACTTTTATTGGAAAGTTCAATAAAGTTTTAGTAGGGTTCGACTGTTATGCACATGCGCGACAGGCTGGCTCGGTTGGCTTTGGATTGGATGGTGATGACCAAGTGATCAAGTCAAACATTCTGCTTTTAGTAAGGGCAGCACTGTTTGGTTGTTTTGGTAATGCAGCAAGAATAAACTATGTTATTAACTTTTGAGTTATTAGAATTATGTTTCTTTGATTGTAACTATTTGTATAATAAAAACCTACCCGTAAAATTCCGAGAGATACCCCACCCCCAAAAGATAACCCACCCCAGTTTTCAACATGATTTTCGATTTCTTCAAAATCACCGAAAGATAACCCACCCCTGACAATAGCGTCATCCAAGCCGGGGGCGACGTCCACAAAAACGAGGTCAGCTGGCGTGAGTAGGGTGCGTGGAAGATAACCTAACAACAAAGACTGGCTGCAATAACAGGCCACAGGATCTAAAAATAACATGTGCGCACTTGGGTTGGCAATGCAGCCCGCACACATGTAAAGTCGTTGCGAAATATTTTCCCTTTCAATTTATTTCCTGTTCGGGAAATACCTTTGCTTTCCCGCACGAATCCGAAACGTGACTACCACGCATCCCTGAACAATCCGGTCATTCGTCGTTGCGAAGCAAGAACAGGAAGATGCAGCAAAGCTTCACCGTGGAGAAGAAAGTGGAGGTTGTCCGGTGGCACTGAAAGGCTGGCAGCAATGTGAGTAAGACCGCACGCCAATTTGGGCTGGATCGTAAGCAAGTAAGGCAGTGGAACTCTACGTACGAAACTCTCCTTCAGGAGTGTCACAGAAAAGGAAAGTTTAAGCGGTCTTTAAACAGCGGTCGACCAGTGTTTTCCAAGGAGATCGACGACTGACTTTTTGAATTTCTACAAGTAGAGGGCGGCGAGCAGGGCGCAAGCACAGAAGCTCGCATCGGAAGCCAAGGTGGGCAACTTCAACGCATCGAGCCAATACCTGTCCCGATGGAAGAATAGATTCAATCTGTTACTTCGCGCCGCCACCAATGACAGCCAGAAGCTCCCGATTGACCATCCGGAGGCGGTATCGGCCTTCCGAAGGACTGTAGGCACGCTGCGCCTACAGCATGACTACAATGACTTCTCTATTGCCAACATGGACCAGCCGATGGTGCGAATGGACAAACCCGCAACGCGAGCCAACAACGTCGCCAGGGAAGCAAGCATCCGGATTGCAAACACTGGATGCTCCCGTCGTGGGTTTACGGTGGCGTTGTGTGCGACTGCGGCGGGGATTAAGCTTCCGGTATTTATAATCCTGAAAGAGCCAACCGGTCGGATCCCTCCGAAGGTGCTGTTAACCCTCAACGTTCCAGGTATGATTTTTTTTTTTTTTTAATTGCAAAATGATTTATACTAATACCTTAATACTTTTTTATTTTTCAAACTAAGAAAATGTTCAGCTCGCTCACTATTACGGTCTGTTTTCCGCAATATTTTCGTTTTTTGCTTTTGTTTCCGTTCCGTGCTTTGAGGCGTAGCGTATGGCGGTTACGCCTAGCGACATACTTGGCCCTTGGCCCCGTAACGTCACCTGTGTGCTCGTGTTTGTATCTTATCTGCTCTCCAATTTGTTAAATTTCAGCCAATGTGCGGCTGTCATTCTCAAAAACGGCTGGATGACTTCCGATGTGCTTCTGGAGTGGGTGTGACGGATTTAGGGCCCGAACAGAGATGTCCGGCACCTGCTCGTCCTGGACCAGGCCCCAATCCACAAGACTGACGCCGCCCGCAAGGCGATCGCAGCAAAGGACACCAACGTGGTGTTTGATCCGGGTGGCTGCACATCGATAGTGCAGCCAGCTGACATCAGCTGGATGAAACCATTCAAGGACAGCCTTCGGGAGACCTGGGCAAGCTTCATTCGAGCTGGGGCAGTGATGCGCAAGGGCAATCTCAAGAAGCCATCTCAACAAGATGTCGTGCACTTCGTTTCCAAGGCTTGGGCGGCCGTGAGCGAGTAAGTTGTCGCCCGCTCCCTCAAGTGGTGCGTTATATCAACAGCCCTCGATGGATAAGAAGACTGAGAGCTTCATGAGCGGCTCGCCTCTGCGGTCCCTCCTTCCGCTGCCCTGCCAACCTCGTCAAACTCCATGCGTGAGGAGGTGCTCAACCTCTTGTTCGACAGTGAGAGTGACTGTTTGTTCGACGGTTTTGACGACGAATGAATACAGAGCTAATAAATGCGTGTGTTTTTTTGGCTGTGATACATTTCTCAACTTTTTTTTTTTTTTTTTATTGAACACTGAAAGTTAGCTTACGTCATATTTTCACTCAATTTGCTCTCGATTTTAGGTGGGCTATCTCTCGGGATTTTATGGTATTCCGTAAAAACATTTTCTCCAAACCTAGACATGCTTGTATCTAAGTCTAGCCACACTGTCCACAAAGTCGCACCTTGAAGAACCTGGTTAAAAGTTTGGAAGTTCGTCGATGTCGAGATTCGACGAAAAAATCTATTCAATGTAAGTTTGTGACATCCCTAGTTGCAACATATCTGTAGAAAAAGTTCTGCCTCCAAACCCCAGAAAAAAAAAGGGCACCACTATATAAATGCACAATTTTTCTAGCGACACAGGGTCGGACAGCGAGAAACATGCGCTTCTATAACCACATGCATTTGTTTGGAAAAGCAAACGTGACATAGGTGTAAAAGCACACAGCAATGAAGACTGGGGAAAGGAACGAACAACACAGGACATATTTTACAGCTTTTGGTGTTGTTCATTCCTCTCCTTAGTCTTTCTTGTTCTGCACTATTGCATTTACATTATGTTTAACTTTCACCAACTAGCACAGCTCTCAATTGTATTACTTCATTCCACTTAGCAGTATTTTACTAGAAGAGGGCTATACATAGTTCTGCTCCTTTCAATGTGGGCAAGGATGCATTCTAAGCACCGAAGGATAGGCACTGCCAATGCACAGGAGCCCCGCGAACTGCCCCTGGCAGATCGCGGGGTGAGACAAAACTGGAGAGCGCTCCGGTGTTGCCGGCTGCTGCCTCTTCGCAAGGGCTAAGGCGTAGCCAGACTATCAGAGCGTTTAAGCACGGACGCGGGAAAGCTGGGACACACCGCACTGCTCTACAAAGGTGCGGCACAGACTCCCCCGCAAAATAAACTCGTCCTAACTACAATTAAGCTTTGCAAGCGCTTATTTCGCAATCATCAAGAACCAGGTGCCCTCTCATTTGGACTTGGCGATTTAGTCCTGCGCCAATTTTTTTCTTAGCCGGCCGAATCTTTGCTTGCCCTACAGGAACGGAGGGGCAACCTCTGCAAGAAGAAATCATTGCAGACTCAATGTTTCTCACTTATCTCCGCACTTTTTCTAAAAATATTATGAGTTGGTTAAAGAATGAATGGTTCTTTGGCGCTTACATCTGTGGGCTTTACAGAAATTTCAAACAAAGTGGAAGCCGAAGCAAGGGCCAGGCAAACGTTTCTTTGAGAACGCCGGACTACGCACCTTAGAGTCCTTGGCGAGGTAGGACACCTTCAGCTGGAGGGCTGCAATCATCATCACGCAGGTCTGGTTGTCGGCATCCCTCAGGACATAATTGTTGACAGGGGGCACAGGCGGAGTTGGGGGCGCAGCAGTGGTCGTCGGGGCCAGCGTCGTGGGTGCATGAGTCGTGGGTGCGTGCGTCGTGGGGGCATGGGTTGTGGGTGCATGCGTTGTAGGGGCATGTGTCGTGGGTGCATGTGATGTGCCGGTCGAACTCTCCTGGCCTGCGGAGAAAAAGGACTTTACTCGACAATTCACCAGCAAGAGCAGTGGACGTTGGCGAGGCATTTGTAGGAATTATGAACACTACCCCCCCTTCCACCTTGTGCAGCTACAGCGCACTTGAAATGCTCCGCCGCAGCATTTGAGACGCACATTGAAGCAAAAGAATCTGACCAAAATTAACCAAAACAAAATTTTATGCAATCATAATTAGAAGCCAGAGACAAAATATCACACATCAAAGAGTGTGTCCTGCTGACGTTTTCAATTACAATTGCCTATCGCTAGGTTACCTATACACTTACCTCGGGTACCCAAGTAATAGCGAGACAAGCTGGCTAGACAGGTGCCAGACAGCTCATTAATATCTGCGGTTGCAAGTGTACGAAGTTTACTAAGGCCGTTTCACACGAGCGAATACCCCCGGCTTCGTGACATTGCAAAAGTGATGCTCTATATTTTGTTTAACGGCATCGATAGAAATACAATTCCATCGTACAACTTGGACACCGAGTCGTCTAGTAATGTGTTTATATGTCCTTAAATAGCGCCGCAAATGTATGCCAGAAAAAGTTAAATTTTATCGCAATAATCAGCGCCACATAGAGCTGCATGAAGGTATATGGCATCTCAGATTGTTGCAACCTCAAACCTTTCAGTTATCAGTTTCAGTCCAGATCAATGCTTTGTTTCTATATACAAATACTCTTGGGGCCTCTAGGGGCATTGCAGAGGGGAGTGGTTGGTTAGTGCCAGGCAAAACTTTGTGTTAGTTACCGGTGATGGTGACAATGTCATTGGGAAGGCCATTCTAGCCGACGATAGATTCGGTTAGAAGTGAATGCTGGTAGGCTGTTCTTACATCGAGCCTAAGGTACTGTTTTTGAGCCTGAACCTGCATGCTGGTTTTGTACAGGACATTTCAACAAACTTAATTTTACGTTACCCATGCAGCTTTGAAAGAAGAATGCTGAAAAATCTTTTCCTAGTCTAGATAGAATGATGGGCAGCTCAGATGGGCTGGTGAAGGCAATCAGTTCCATGGTATTATCTCTGCCAATATCAGTTGAAATGCCGCTCCGTGCGATACTATCAGAGTTGCCCGTGCATTTTTCTGCAGATCGATGCACGCCGAGGCCCAGACAACTCCCCTTCAGCGCTCGCTGCTCCACTATGCACTTACTTGCCATTTGCTACTGAGACTGCAGTTCACAACTGTGGCAGGACTGTCTGGATAGACACCTCGATTGCCGGGTTTTTTCAAAGTTCCCGTACCAATAGATTTACCTCATCAGCCAGTTTCGTTACGCTGCCGCTGTCACAATTCATCGAGGGAACTTTAGTCTGTCCACGTAGGACAGCCTCTGAGCTTTGCACACACAAAGCACAAGATGGCACGAACAAACTGCATGACACGCTTAGTGAGATCGGTCTATTCGAAAGATTGGAAACTGTACACCAATACAGCTGCGACTACCTAGTGGTTCTCCTCGTCCCTCGAGAACGGCTTTCCTGCGGTGCATTCCCAGGTCAATTTGCATCCCTGTGGGTGTGAATTATCCAATTCACGGCCAGTAAAGACCTTCTCTATACTACTGCCCGTTGCCAGTACTCTTTCAGACGTCACACATTGGTCAAATTTTTTGGATATGTCTCCAGCAAATGCAGAGAGACATCCATGTTTGAGCAACTCAACTGTGGACTGCTCACTCTGTGATCGTGAGTCTGGAACCTGCAGAAATTGTTTCAAAGAAGTTTCCAAGAATTATGTTGTGCCTTGCATAGGTTTTACAGTTTGGTTAAACAAATGGATGTCACCACCACTTTCTCGCTCGCAGATGGCACTGAAGTGCACTGCGGTACCAAGAGCGCCGTTGGGGAGTTGTCTTACCCTCAGCATGTCCTATAGTTCTAAAAAAAATGCAACAAGCGGCTCAGATAGTACTGCGCGCCACGCAGTGCAACATTTCGGCTCGTATTGGCCGCGATAGTACGGTCCGCAGTGATACGAGCATGGCCCTACTACGGAGGGCAACGCTTTGTCGTATGCACAGCTAGAGCCTGGCGGAAGACAACGAACGTGTGCTGGAGGCATAGCTTCCGAATTTCTTAGCCTGACCATAGCGCTAGCCGAAAGGGTTAAAATGCCGCACAGGTACCTCCAGCATGCCAAGTCATGGAACCGACTGTCGCATTGCGACAGCGAGAAATGTCCATCTCAAGCTCCTGCTTAAAGTACCTTCATGCGTGGCTTTTGTGCAGTTCTGGGGATGCCACTGGCCCAGTTCATACTGCCAAACTCTATAGCCAAATTCGCCGACTGGAAGTTTAAACAGCAGGTGGTTAGCCTGCAGTGGTGTCTTGTGTAAGCTCCAGATGAGCAACTTGGCCAGCGTAGCGAGACTTTTATAACACTTTCGGACGACACAGCCGCGTCGCCCGTGTTGTCCGGCGCATTTCTCAAGTTTATGCGTGCCCTGTTAACCGACACGCTCACCGTTCGACGGGAGGATTTTATGTTCTCGTCTGAAGAGCGTCGGTGTACACATCCCAGAAGCACGGCAGCTTCTTCCGAGGGTGTCGTGTTCGGCAGTCAGTTGTTCCCCTTTCGGGGTCGAGAGCGCCGAGAGCGTTTCCAAAGCACGGCCCTGGGTCGCCCGACAAGCTGAATATGCGGCGCGGCGGAGAATTACCGGCGACCCAGTTCGCGAATGAGAGCGTCGCTAATCAGTGCGGCGTTCGGGACTCGATCCCGAGCATTGCCGGCGCCGAACTGGACGGGCCAGCGTCCTTGGGGGCGTCCATTGCGACCCCCCCAGACCGCTGGTAGCGGCGGTAGCCCTACACTCGCCCCTTATCGCCTCCATTGTTGTTCGGGGGGGCGTCGTTTTATCGGGACGTAGCCACCCCCCGCGTGCGCGACAGTTAGGCCCAGCGGACGTATGGCACGGGGGACAGAACGTCCTCGGCCGGGCGTGAGTCAACACCCCGAGACTGATCGGTTGCTGCGCAGCCGTCACGGGCACGCGTCACCAGAATTCGCAAAGTGATGACCCGCGGGGCGAGCTTTACTCACCCGCTGCCAGAGTCGCCGATGCCCAGACGGCCACGAGGACCACGAACCACTTCATGCCGACCGCCGGGAGCGAAGCTGAACAACGCCGCAGAAGACCTTCGGGACACCTTTGAGACCGAGAGGATGATGAGCTCAAGTTGTTGCCAGTGCTGTATCTGCTCGCACGTCTCACATCAGATCGCGGATCACGAGAACGACCGGAAGTGCGCAACTGCCGGAAGTTCCCAAGTTTCTAACGTCGTAACGTTGGCAACGGCAGTTGATAAATTCGAGGGGAAAAACTGCTTCAAGCGGTTTCCGCAATACACGGGCCCAGACGTGCACGAACCCTTTCGTCCCGACAGTAATCACAAATACATCGCGCGCGTAGCGCCAAAAATGATTAATGTTGCAGCGTGTTGTCGATCAAGCCACCGAACGGCCATCTTGCATGCCAAAAAATCGCGTTTTTGGAGCGTTGCGGAGGCTGGCGGCAGCGCACTGATAAAACGATTTCCACTCGTTCGTCCTCATTCTTCATTGAAGTTATTTAAAACCTCGTGTAAGCCGTGGGACTTGCCGTTGAGAATACGTGGCAGTTTTTATGGAAGCGTAGTGCCGCAGGCAAAAGGTACAACTCGTCGAAAGCAAGATTCACCGGTCTCGCGGCGTGATTGAAGCTTTTTTGGCACGCGGAAGCGCTGCATCTCTGTGCTTTCGCACTGTTGGATACCGATCAAGAGTAGACACCGTGTGGATCTGTTTTGCGAGTGCAATATGCGTGAAGCCATATGTGCCTCTAAAGCAGCGTCCAACTTGCCCTTTTTTTTTTTTTTGTTTTGTAAAAATTAGCCGAATTGAGCCAGAAAAGGTATGGAAAGCTGGCAACACGGTGCAGCAGTTTCGCGCCCTTTTTATTGGGTGTTGTAATCGAGGAATCCGAATGATCTTGCACGTTATCCAAATGCAAGGATAACTTTTGAACATAACCCAGGTATTCGTGAGCGCCTGAAGATGAGGGTGAACGGAAACTTGCTGTCGAGCTACCAGCGGCAGACGGTGTGCCTTCTCGGCAGGGTGCTGCAGGTGGGTACTAGATACTGGAACGAAAACGCATGTGCGCCTTCCATTAACTCATCACCAGTGCTTTGAGGCTCGCGCCAACGTTCCTGGTGCTCTGCCGGAACACCGCGAATCAGGGATTCCTGGGAAAGGTGGATTCACAGCGCTTTTCGTTTTGAAGTAAAGAGAAATCTCACAACAGCTATTGGGCAGCGCACAACTGAACGAGCTGGTTTCCAAACAAAAGCTCTCTGGCAGTGGGGGCTCCTTCCTCGACATTTATAATTTACGCGTTGGTTCTTTTCTCCACGCAATGGCAGTCGTAGGAAACAAACGAACAGCCTTTAGCCCCTCAACTCGCAGCCAGAACAAGCGGCCACGTGAACTGGAACCGATTACTGCCACCAATCAGGGATGGGCAGTATTTCAAATACAAGTATTTAAAATATGTATTTAAAATACTTTGTGTATTTTGCATTTGTATTTAATTACAAATTGGGTAATGCATTTGACGTGTGTATTTAAATACTAAAACGTGGGCATTTCAAATACAATTGTAATTAAATACAATTATGTGGGTGAAAATACATCCCTCAAATTTATTGTCACTGTCCAGAGCAGGAAGACGTTCTGCACCGAATGCAGTGTCTCTCAATCAAGCACAAGCGTTTAGTGACTTTGTGATTACGGTGCTAGTCCAGGGCAAGAATAGTGACGAAATCGACGTTCAAAGGCAGACTGGCTAAATTAGTGCCTTTGACAACTTGTCATGCTTTCCAGCCTGATTTCCATCCATATTTTTGCCTGGAACATTCTAAATGTGCAGGTTGTCCAGATTTTCGTAACTGGTGCGAGTTGCAACGATAAAAAATTCTCTGGCTAGTGATGCGCGTCTTGGTCGTCTCGGTTCTTTGTTGGTCTATACCGAAATGTAATCGACAATAAAAACTGCTTGAAGCTCTGTACTTTGTTCACATATTACGTCCAAGCTGATTAATTATTATTAGCTGATTAATTACCCAAGCTGATTAATTATTACGTCCAAGCTGATTCACAGGCAGACTGGCTAAATAAGTGCCTGTGACAACTTGTGATGCTTTCCAGCCTGATTTCTCTCCATATTTTTGCCTGAAACATTCTAAATGCGCGGGTCGTCCAGATTTTTGTAACTGGTGCGAGCTGCACCAGTTACAAAATGCCGATTTTTTTACTCCGATTTTGGGAGTGCAAGTTTTTATTTGTTGCATGCCAGGCGTTAAACTTGCGAGGCACAAGACGAAGTGCCGGTTAACAACTGGATGCGAGGAATTGGAACATTATTGTGCGCTAGGTTGGCCATGGTAGCCTAGCTTGGGCCGACGGCGCATTTGCCTCAGTGTCGAGCGGCGTTCTCTCATTGCAGAGCGAGGTGTCCGGCATGTCCCTGAAGCTGGAGTCCCCCGACAAGCAGGTGGTGCAGGTCATCATGAAGAAGCCGGTGAGTGCACAACCGCCCTCCGGGGAGAGGGGCCTCGGTGCGACAGAGGTCCGGCGGTCGGAGTCGCCGACCAAGAGCAAGGCGGTGCTCGGTCTCGACAGCGTTAGTGGGAGTGCCTCGGAGCGTCTGGGACCTTAGCCCCCCTCTGGAGCCCGCTTCCCCGCATGCCCGTCTAAAATTGGGGTTTTTGCGATGGACAAAACAAATTGGTGACAGTCTAGTGGCTCGGTAAATGTATACTTCGGAATAAATGTTTCAGCCGTAAAGGGTGCGATGGGTATCAATGTCAACCGTTGAGCGAGTTGGTGTGAAATCTTTGAAAACATGGTCGTGCTTAAAGACACGGGCACGCGAGCGAGCGGTGTTCTCCCATTGCTGTGTTGTCTATTCTTTTAACTCCACTAGAGTTTCAGAGGTCCCCTACACTGGCACTCTCTTTTCTCCAAGTAAAAGTAAAACACCTAAAGACAGGTCCAGAAGGTAGATGCTAACAAGACACGGCATAGCAAGTCCAGAACGCCATTGCGGCGTTTCTGGGGCCTTGGGGCACATCTCTGGAGGGAACCGTCTTGGGCCCATCTTTTGAAGAAAAAAAAAACTAAAATTGCATTTGTTACACGGTCTGCCACGTGCAGGGCCGAGAGGGGGCGCTACTCAATACTTCCGGAAGATTTGTGTTTGCTGTTACCTAGAATGTTCAACGCTGAATGTTCAAGATACCGAGTGTAATAGATAAGGAGGCCAGTGCGGCCTTGCCGACTCACTTTCCCGCTAACCAGCTGTCACACCGACACCTCAACGCTCGCTGCAGCTTTTTTCACACTCATTCTTTTGTTTCTGGTGCAAGTTTGCCAATTTATTTTTAGGTTTCCGTTTGTCTATCCCTTTTCATCCACACCTTTGCATATCCCTGATGCCCGAAGGCGCTTCTAACATGCCGCAGATTGAGGAGCCCCTGGAGGGCCTGCTGGAGGTGGTGGGCGAGGTGACCGCCAAGCTGGCCGTTGTCTGCCACAGCTACGTCCTCTTCCCGCCCGGCATGTCGCAGGGCTTCGGTGAGTGTCTCCGAGCCCGGATGTGCACGACCGTTTCAACCCCCGAGGAATGACTTTCTCCAAGTTAACTGCTACTTCAGCCGATCCAAAGCTCCCGTCGATGCGTAACTAGGAGCCAAACACTCGCCCGTGTGCGCATTATAGTCTGCAAGGTTCCAAGGCTTGTTCTGGGGCGGTTCTTTACCTGATCGGTGAGCGGAACGGGGGTTCCTCGAGGTCAGAAAGTCCGAGCTAGAGGATTCGCTCGCGCACTCTCTGTGGCAACCAAGTTTTGCTTTGGACCACTTCAGGAGCCACAAGTCTAGTTTTGTTGCAGTATAAGTAAACCTTGGAGCTGGTAACTCGGGTCAAACTTGGGCTATAACCACAGAGGTGTTTTTCTAAATACAAAAAGATATTGCAATGAAAAAGGATCTCTCCATCCGACGTTCCAGAACCATTTCCACGATGGCGCAATGGCACAGCGCTTCCACGCATGTCTTTCTATTCTCTACTGGTCTGTGCTGTAACCATATCTGCTTTCTGCCTTATAATAGTACTTTATTATGTTTACCACTCTACTCCCCTCTGTAATGCCATTGGCCTTGAGAGTATTCAAATAAATAAAAAGTGTACATCATAAGACGCTCATTTTTCCACCTCTGGCAGGCGAGGATTTTAGACGTGTTCAATAGCCCGCGTAATACGAAAACGAGTTACCAATGAAAAGAGCAGTTCTAAAACCGTACGCAAAACATAGTGTTCATTTTGAACATAGTTTGTTATCCAAAAGCATAAAGAAGGGTTCCCGACAATGTCGCTTAATGCGTAACACGCGCAAAAGAGCCCTTTCTTCGGAGCAAAGTTTTGCACTCGAGTCCATCCAACTTGGCACAAGCTGTTTGAGCGGCCGAGGAGCAACAGGCTGCACACGCCACTCCTTGGCCGGCGCGGGGACGTCTCAACGGGTGGTTTAGCAAGAGACGTCGTCGGTCGATCCTCGGGGGACGGTGGCCCTTGCGAGAGAGAGAGAGTGTGCTGGAAAGACGTTTATTGGCCGGCCGTACGTCTCCCCCCGCCCGCAGACATGGAGACCTACAACCGGCTGGTGGAGCTGATGAACGAGCGCAAGGAGTACTACCCGACCATGGCCAGCTGCTAGGCCCCCCCGGCTCAGTCGATGCGGTCCATGGCCCCGCACTTGCAGCTGCAGCCGGTCACGGGACACTCTGTGTGGTCCCTGCAAGACCAACCAGACGTCGGCACCCATGCCACCTGGCCGCACTCCCTTGCGCGCCCCATTGTTTGTCCTTCTAAAATTAAAGGATTACAAACGCTCCTTTGTCACGAGGCGACACGCCGTGCTTGTGTCGACGCTGGCTGTCGCAAGCGAGTGAACCCTCTGTTACTGTTACAGACTCGTTCTGGAGTTCCAGAAAGAAAGCCGACCTCCGAATAAATGTGCTACTTCTCTAAGACAACAGAGTCCAGAAAAGAAGCTTTCATACGTCCCTCCAAAAAGCGTCGTCGATAATGGCGGTTTCCCAAAGAGCGTTTAGGCGGAGTGCATTTATCGTCCCCGGAAGGAGCTCTCGCACGGTCGGTACGAGGGGCGGCCACCCACCCGAACCAGTCTGCCAGGTGCACGGCGTGTCCCCCGTGGCGGCAGCTCTGGCACCAGGTGAACCAGGTGGACAGTCCGGAGAGCTTCTCCTCCTCGGCGGGGTCCGGTCGCCCCTCGGGGTCTCGAGGGGGCCAGTCCCCGTCCCCCTTCTTCCACAGGCTCCCCGCTGGGGTCCCCATGTTGGTCAGGCACAGGGCGCACCGGGGCAGGGGCTTGCGGCAGCTCGGGCAGCACGACACCTGCGCACGCCGGGCTTTCGTCCCTTCTCGCCGGTCCCCCTTTTCCCACCCGCCATTTTGGACTCGAGTCCACTTGGCCGGTATTTTGCCGAGAATGAGCGCACAAATGATTCTCGTGGCGTCCGATGTGCTTTGTCCTTGGTGCTCCTTCGTTCGTTGGTCCACGTCAACTCGCGTACTGTAGCAGAATGCTCGCGATTTCGGAAGAAAGCGCAGGACGTCGATCGCTCCAGAAGCAAAATAGCAGCGATTACGATGTCGGCCTGCATGCCATATTGCTTCGCCACGGTAGTCTGTTTGCAGTGTACTTCTTTTTCGTTCGCTAGCGGACGACACGCGGCGTTCTTTGCGGACAATGCTTTGTAGCGGACCGACCCCATTCTTAGCTCGTGTTGCTGAATGTACTGTTTGCAAACGACGTCCAAGTTCGCTGCCCAAGAAGCAAGTCGGCTCTAGTGGCGACCGGGGAGTTGACCAGGCAGGACATGCCCGGTGCTCGTGCCCCCTCGTCGCACACCGGAAAGGAAACATCGGAGGAGAAACGAATAAAGTATGGTAGGCCCTCCCCGATACATTTTAGGTCGATGCTCTCCCGGCAGTTGCGTTCACAACCGCCATCGCAACTCCCGCGGGGAGAGTCGCATATATTTTTAACGAAGTAAAAAAACTCAACTGCTCGAAACACGAGCACGGAAGCTCGTGGCCACACCCTACCACAGTTTTTCTCCAGCGTGTGAATAAGAAGACGAAGTTGCATGCACCAATTGTCGCGCGATTGTTTTGCACTTGTATCTCTTCCACTCGACGTTCTGCAGATCAATTGGCCGGTAGCACGAATGACAGTTCCAAAGTAGCGGCCCTACGTCTGCCGCAACGTCGATCTGTCGTGCGCCACCATCGCGTCCAGCCCGCGGTACGTCGTCGTATCAAGAATGACGTGTACATGTAATTTTCGTAATCTGTGCAACACTTTTTTTTTTTTTTTTTTCAATGTGTTTGCAGTTTTTGGGGGGCCACAAAAATAGGGTTTATATTTTGTATTTTTAATATTGAATGTGCGTCTTGATGACCCACAACACTGAATATATTTAGTACACATAGTTTGAATCCCACATGACCATAAAAAAGAGTGAGCGCTACTGAAACTGGCTAACTCGCGAGCAAAAGAAAAAAGAATTTCGAGCCGCAAAATGTGTTCTGTGTAATTACTTGTACAGGTCACGTTCAAATAAAAACTTTGGCGAGCATAAATATCCTGTCGGTGTTCCTTTAACGGTTGTTACGTCCAAAAACCGCCCCTTGCCGTGGCCACCCTCTTTTAACATCTGATTGCATTCTAAGAGTCGTTTTCTGCGAAAAAATGGAAATGAAAAAATTCTAAAAAGCGTTACCAAAAGAAAAAATGTCCGCCGACATTTGAACACGTACAATAGTTTTTCGAAGCCACAAAAACTTGCAACAAATAAATAGTGGTGCCGGAGTTGCTCCCTGCCTTATCTATTCACCCTTAGGTTTGCATATCTGTAGCCCGGAGTGCACTCTCTAAGACCAGAGTTCGTCGCTAGCAAAGCACTCCCCATCGCGAAAATGCCAACTGGTACCGGCCCAATGCCCTTTGTCGGACCAATATTAGCGGCGTTAGGTGCGAGTCATAGCAAGAGGGCACCGCCCTATTTCGTGCCCCGCCTCGCGCGACGCCTGCGATTGGGTGACGGTGCGAAACAATAAGAAAATCAAAAGCGTGTGGGGGCACGCTCATGGCGGGCGGCAGAGAGCTCGCTAACGACGAAACACCAGCCATATGCCCACAAAAACATGATTGCTTGTCGCATTTTTTTTTATTGAGGTCCTCCGCCAACCCGTCGACAAAGTCGTACCCCCGCAATATCGATCGTCCCCATAAAGATGGGAGTCCCCACATTACAGCACCAACGCAGGATACAATCGGGTCGCCTCCGCGAGGATTCTCAAGACGGCGACTTTCGGGACGACGGGGGACATCGGAAAAAAAGCCGTACCTTGGTCTTGTTGAGGGTGGGTGCGCCCAGATGGGGCCGCGGGGGGGCCCTGCCCTGCGCCCCAAGGGGCAGGTACGGGGTGGCTGCCAGGCCACAGAAGTTGCAGCTCACCACAACCTGCGGGGGAGGCACGCTCGACGCGTGCTGCCGCACCCACTGGCAGTCGAACTGGCACCTGCACGGGGAGGCCCCAAGGGTCACGCTTTCCTCCAAGTGCGTTGCAGGAGGACGCTACGGTGCCCGGAACGTGCTTTCCACCAGTGCGTTCCCCGCCCGTGCGTCTGAAGCAGTCCCAAAGCGGCAGCGAATTGCGTCGTGGGAGCCTGCGCATCGGACGTTGCAATCCCGGCAGCCGGTCGTAGAAACGCTGCCAAAAGGGGCAGACACAAGGGTCACCGCCCATCGTGTTGTCTTACATCTACTTTGGTTTGGTTTCCGCCGAGAGTCCGGCTGCAGAACGGGCGTCTGCCACCTCTGCCGTCGGGATAGCAGCGGGCAACAACGTAAGCTTTTACTACGTCCTCGGGCGGTGATCAAGGGACCACGTTTGAGGACGTAATAAACACACCGATCGGAGACACTTCACAAGCACCGTGGCAGCACTTCCGAGGACAAGATTCTGCCCGGGCGGGCATGTCAACGGCTCTTGGTCGTGTTTCAAAATTTACTCAGTCTCGCTCCGGAGTAAAGGTACTTAGGTGCCGGATGCCAAAAACCTATTCGCGTTGGGTGCCATTTTATCTGCAACTTGCGAGAGAAACTGGGATCTGGCCCGGTGAGATTTGGAATGTGGCCGGCGCGGGGAACCAGAGTTACGCTGCTCCTCCCACAGTATGTCGTTCTATGTTAACAAGTATCCCGTACTACCCGAGAGACTCACCCATTTTAACTGTTTTCTTACGCGTGCGACAGGAAAATTTCCCAAAGAAGCTTAGAAAAATGCGGCAAGCCTGTCTCCACCCGAGCCCCGTTTTTTTTTTGTTTTTTTTTTTTGTCTGGCCACGTCTGCAGAAATTAAGATCACACTCTATCCGGAGACCTTATTTGATCTAAGCTAGCTGGCTTGAATTCTCTTTGTCTCTTTCATTCTCTTTGTCACTAGTGCATGCCTCGGCGTAAAAGAACTACACGACCATACCTCGAGCATTGTGTCATTTGTACTTGCAATATGGGCGGTTCCCATGGAGGCAAGAACAATGTTGTTGCCCACATCCAATCGCAAAAGCACATCGGCCAATGTTTCAACCAAGAGGAATGACGGCAGCTAGTGCAATTCTTTTAAAAATGGGACGGTGAAAACAACATTTTCTTTGCAGAGTGCTCGTTTATTCGTATTTCTACTAGAACACAACTTCTTTTTTTGCCGCCGCCGACCACGTGGGTTTGCCGCTCCCAAGACGTTTCCCACTTCGGATTCTGACTTTTTTGAAAATGGCAAGAGTGTATAGCTTAGATAGGTGCTGAAGATGCGCGAGAGCGAAACTTCCAAAAACTCCTTTTGGGACATAACGCTCCGGGAAGGGGTGGCTTCAGCTGCGCTTTGAAATTCATTTTCTGCAGCCTCCATGCACCAAATTGAAAAATAATTTCGATATTCGTGACCCTGGAGGCCAAATGAAGACTATTTACTAAATGTTTTTACTCAAATACAGAACCACTTGGTTCCCTTTAAGCTCAGTTGTATGGCATTCTACGCCATAGGTATTAAACTTGGTCTGTGATTAAAGGAAAGACGAAACAAGTTTTCAAGTTGTTCTTTCTAAGCTTTAATACTCGACTCGAACGCGAAATTAGAAATCACGTGTTCGTGATGTGCTGAGGCACCGGAGGCAATAACCCCGAGCTTCGACCGTGCTTTTTAGGCGCACCATGGAACTTATCATTCTCAAGAGAAAATAAGTGCAGTCTCGGCACTCATAGGCCACGAACATGACTTCAAATACTCGTTGACAGATCGATCGCTGACGAGTGTATACTTCCGAGCTAAGCGGCGCTCGCGTCCAATGCGTGAACTGGGTTTGGCTGATGTGCTCGGGCACTGTGGATGCATCAGAGTGACAAGGCAGGGAGCTTTCGAACGAAAGAAGGTTTAAAATAGTCCGCTATATTTTCAAATTGTCTTGTCGAAAATTGGGTTTTAGCTTTTCTACACTCATGCGCTAGTTTTATTTTGGCGCACTAAACAATATGCGATTAGTAAAGGCTTAGGAAATCTCCCCGATTTTGTTTCTCTGAACCTGGCAGGCGTGCCATAGAAACCGTCTCGAAAAACATCCCGCGACGACATGCGGTGCACACGAGAGGGCGCCGGCGTTCTTTTGAGCCGCCCGCGAGGAATTGGAGGTATTCGACCTTCGAGATGTGCCGCAAACTGAACGAAGTGTGGGAGCGGCAGTAAGGAAGAGTTTGAGAGGAATCGGAAAAAAAGGGGGTCGTTCGTTCAAGAGCTCTCCGACTACGCCCTGCATACAACCGAACCAAAGGTGGGGCTCTCCCGCATTGCCTCAACACCTGCAACCATTGATCCAAACCCGTCCCAAGCGTGCCAAACCAGATGAAGGTCACGCCAAAAAAAGCCAGACGGCATCCATTGAGGCGAGTCGACTCTGCCACTCCTCAGCGTGCAACTTTCACGTCGGAGGGAGAAATTGCCGGGAGTTCTCCACATGCCCAGCGACCGTGTGGCGAGCAGTCTTCGGGCGAGCAAAAGGGGGCCCTCACCGCTGCTGCCAGAGGCGCCACTGGTCCAGCAGGTGGCGGTAGTGGTCCACCCAGAGCTGTGCCCGGGGGGAGACGCTCAGGACACTGGGGTGGCTCTGCAGGGCCACCAGGCTGGCCGTCTGCACGTCCCCCGTGCGGTCCAGGTAGCGCTGCACCAGCTCCACTCCGTCCTCCCCAAGGCCCGTGAGCAGCACTGCGTCAAGGTTGCCTTCTGCCACCAGGCTGTTGGTCAAGTCCCCGATGTACTGCGTCAGCTAAACGGAGGAGGAAACGTTGAAAACGCCAGAAGCTACCCCTCCCGGAAGACCCACCTTGGAGTCTGGCAGGTGCAGGCAGGCGAAGGCCACCCGGTCCTCCACGGCCATGTCGCACTCGTACTGCGAGTGGACCCGGTCAAAGAGGCAGGGGTTGAAAATGGGGGAACAGGGGGGGCTCACCAGCAGCTGGCGGTAGGAGTCGTCCTGGGCCGTGAGGAAAGCAAACAGGGCCTGCAGGTAGGGCTCGCTCAGGGACAGGCGCAGCGAGTGCCACACCTCCCGCCAGGCTTCCCGGGTCTCTTTGGAGTAGCCCGACAGGGCCAGGGCCACCAGCCCCACGCTGCTGCCTGCACCGCAGCCAGGGGTGTCAGACCGGCCACCCCCGGAGGGCAGCACCCCACCTCACCTTTGCCCGTCGTGGCGGCGTCCCTGAGCACGGCCACGGCCTCCTTCAGCCGCAGGTTGAACATGTGGATGGCTGCCTTGCGCGCGTAGTTGGCCTCCTTCTCCAGCCTGGGCAGACGAAGCGGCCGCTCGGTCTCTGCCTCGAGTGCAGTGCCCCCTTTCGAGATTGTCGGAAAGTTTGGGATGTTTTCGACCGACCTTCGACGCCGCCGAGACGCACTTGCTCGGCTCCGCTCAATTTGCCCACAATACGACACTGGTCGCAGGGCACCAAAGGGAGCGCTTCGTGCGGGAGAGTGCACCTCCGACGCTTCGTTTACGGATGATTCTACCGGCTTCCGAAAAGAAGAGAGACTATGGTTCTTACGTGCACGAGACTCGTTTTTTTAACCTAATTAAGAAAGTATACATTTTTAAACGGGGATCGTAATCCTTGGTTGTGGGGCGGTTTTGAAGAGGGGCGTCACAGACAAATTTGGCGGGCAGTGCTTCCGCGGGAACCTGGTTTAATCCGGAAACTCTACGGCCGTGGATTGTTTCTTTGCGGGAACTTGGCGGCAAAGCCCAAGCATAGTTTTTGCTTATGGGGTTTGAACTCGTTAGAAGCAATGCTTCGAGAAACGAAGGAATCGAAAGCATGTGGGCAGATCAGAACACCGAGCTCCGATTGGAGTGGGTAGACCTAAAGCTAGCTGCTTTCGTATCCACTGCACTCTAAGAATGCCGGCATTTGTCTTTCACATTCAAACATGTGCGACCAGAGCAGTTAAGACAAAGGCCGCGAGCTTTAGGTCTACCCACTAATCATTACAACCAGAGTTTGGTGTTCCGAAGTCCCCGCTCGCTCTCGTCTCCCGCTATTCGTCAGTTTCTCGGTGCATTTGATCCTACTGCAAAGTATCCAAATTTTGCATCGACCCCTGGAGCTTCGACTAGAGGACTACCTTAAACTGGGGCCTCCGGGGAGGACTCCACATTCACATCTTTCTCTGCGAGTCGATGGGACGTACGGGGACAAACGTGGGCATTAACTCCGTGATGGAGTTCCCCTGGAGCAACAAACGGAAACGATTGACACGGACCGATCTTGAGCACGTGCAGCATGCGCACTAAGGTGCCTTCGTAAGACTCCTAGTGCTCGAAAAATAAGCATGTGTGACCGCGGGCCTGCCCAAGAAACGTGCTCGAGTGTGCTCGCTCGAGCGTAACTGGAGCGTTTACCTGCGGGCAGCGTCCGACAGGGCGCTGCGAAAGGATGCACCCACCTCCTGTGGAAGATGTTCCCAGGCAGGCCGTCGTGCTTTGCCTTCCAGCCGCACAGCCACAGCACACGCTCCCTGCAGCCCAAGGCAAGGGGTCACAGCCTACCTCGCCACCGCCCCTGCACTTTCTCATTCCAGAATGAGCCAGTAATTATGAACGAGTCCCCCACCCGACCAAACTTTGCAGCAGGGTGCGAGGAACGGAGGGGCTTGCCGGAAAAACAGCCACCCGCGCGAAACGGGACGAAATTTCCCTTTAAGTACTTTTAGCAACATATTTTAGTGTTCTGCACGGTGACGCGCCATTTAGACGTACCATGGATGCAGTGTACGGGCCATCCTTCTGTTTACTTTTTTCTCCCCGCCTTTTTTCGGCACTGAGATGTCTGCAACGGGCATACTTTTTCTCCACACTTCTTCCAACCAATGGGAAGCTCCCGAAACAACTTTTACACCAACATCACTATGCCTACCTCGAATAAACATTAAAAAAATGCAAGAAAGCACCGTCTGTGAACTGGCATATGCAAGCAGAGGAAACTATCTTGAACCAGAAATGGGTCTCGTGAGGCAACTATTGCATTAGTTTATTTTCTTTCGGAGAAAGTACACCTTGTTGCATACTATGTGGTCTATCCGGGCAGTTCTTGATGAAAGTTATTCTTTTAGAGTTCCCTCTAAAGAGCAGAAAAAGGCACAGCACAAGAAGATTTTGGTCTTGCCTCCTTGGCGTGGCACCGGCAAACAACCAAAGGGCCCGTAATTGGCGAAACGGTAGAGAGCCCAGACAGGGAACGAGCGAAACCACGAAGAGCGTCCGCATTTGGCAGACGCCCTTTGTGGTGGATGCCTCCGGGGCGAATCGAGTGCCAGAGCAGAGGAAAGGCAGAGGTGCTCGCAGACAACTGGCGCCCCTTCCCGCAGCCCATACTGCAGACGGAGACGCTCCAAAACCTGGGCCCGAGGCAATCGACCCCAAAGCTCCTCCGCTTTGGGTATAGCAGGGTGCAAACGGAGAAGAGGGTGGCTCACCGCTCCCTGCTGTGGTAGGTGGGGCCCAGGGGGCCCCGGGAGGGGCCCTCCAGGCTCGAGGGGTCTGGTCCCAGCAGGGCCCTTACCCCGGCACACTCCCCGCGCCTGCCCCGCATGCCGGACTCCTCCAAGGAGCGCACCAGTGGGCCTTGGTCAAGGAAGAAAACGGCCCACGGGGTTCCGCCGTCTTGTTGCCCGTGGAGAGCGATTGACGACGGTTACCGTTTCAAGATGCAATTTGAAGTGGCGGCATCGGAAAGCCCGAGCAATATCGTATCGCTCCATCACGGACCTTTTTAACATTCCCGGAGGACGGAAAAGCATATCCCGTAACTCTGGGCCCCCGGCACCGAGACCGCCCAAGCATAGCTTATTTGGTGGCTCGAGCATGCACAGGCTTCAACCGGCGCGTGGGAGCCCGCCTCTTTCCCAACCGCGCCACATTATAGAGCATGTATTTGCATTAGGCCTTTTTCGTCACCCTTTCACAATATCTAAAAAGGCCAACGAATGAACCGACGGAACGGGAACAAAAGTAGGACCCAGAATTGGAATCCCACCTCCGCCACACTTGGTCTTCCGGCGACTTTCCGACCTTGATTCCAGCTCAGCTGTTACGGTTTGTGCTCGTCCGCGCATTCCAACAATTCCCGTTTGTCGGAGCCTCGGTCGGCGGGAAGGAAACGATTGCAGCCCTCGGAAGGCCCTCCGAACGGCGCCCAGACCGACCGCCATGCAAGGATATGCTCAAGCCAGGACCAGATGCCCCGCAGGTGGCCGTCGCCGTCGCACAGCTCCGCGTTGCGCCACAGGTCTTCCGGCTGCGGGAGAAGGTGACCCCGGTGGCCGTTAGCAGACCGCACGCACAGGCCGCTCTCGAGCCTCGGGAAGGGGTCCTCCAAGAAATGCCCGGGCAGCTGCGGGAACGCTCTGGGCTCGCGAGATCGAGGCCTCGCGGGTCGTGACCACCACCTGACACGGGTGGACTACGTCTCCATCCCACGAATAAAGTTGGTCCGTGCATGACGCAGAGTTCCGACTTTATTTGTGGCACAGATGTGAGTCGAGCGCGTAAATCTGTAATCGCGCATACTTTACGTTTCCCACAACGTCAAACGCTTCCCTGATCTACCAAAGCTCTTTCAAATCTTTGCGAAACTTCTAATCGCACAATACGGGCAGACGACGGGTTATCCACGCGCTTTCCGCCGTCGGCACCAAGAAATTGTCTCTCACCGCCCGAGTTTCCTCTCGACACGGCAATAAAGTGTCAAACTCGCAGTTTCGGGGGTCCGACTCTCGTCAGGGCGTGTTCGGAATTTCATTCTCCTTATCGCTATTTCCGCTCAAACGTGCATTCTTCTGTACCGACTCATCCTCCGAAATTCACGACGGGCAATTTTGTTGCACTTCTTTAGAAGATCCCGGAAGGGGCGTCGGAGAAGGACGCCCACCTCGAGGCCGTAGTTGAGCAGGGCCCTCCTGCGGATGCGCACGGCCGTGTCGTCCAGGCAGTCGTAACCCCGGTCCCGGTCGCCCCAGCAGTGGGCCAGCTTCTTGCCTCGCATCCAGATCAGCTCGCACGAGGGGGACCAGTTCTGCGAGGGGAAAGAGAGGCACTCTTCGTCTGGCGTGGGGCAGAGCTGCACTTACCAGGGTGATCCTGTCCAAGACGGTGTAGTCCCGGGCCGCGCTGTCGGGGGTCACCGCCAGCATGCGGTTCTCGTGCTGCGGGTGCCAGCAGAAGGAGCTCAGCACCGCCCCCGGGTAAGCTGCACGGGCAGACGTGAGGGCTCGCTCCGGGGCGTCTGGGACGGGCTCACTCACGCTGCACGCTGCGCTCCACCAGAGTGGGCTCCAGGTCCTCTGCCGGCGACTGCTGCACGTCGTACAGCTTCACCACGCCGCTGTCCCGCGTCAGCACCCCCATCAGGTGTGACCTGCAAGATGGCCGTCCTCACCGGGGAGGCCCCGCGCTCTGACGCCGGCATTTGGGCACCCTTCTCTAAGCAGGCCGGCAGCCAGCGCTCTTCCTCGTTTCGCCCGTCCTTCTCTAAGGCCGGGAGATCTGCCGTCCGACGGGCGCACAACCGAGAAACAGTGCTCGGAGCTGTCCTACGCCAAACATTTGCTGCTGCCATCGCAAACCACTTGGCGACGGACGACCCGAAAGTGCTTACTGTCCTTTAGTTCCTTTGGTCTTGCACATGTGCACGTGCTGTGTTTTCTGGTTAATAGTACTCCAAGCCAGTCGTAGAAACCGACTCCGAAACTGCTCGACATGGCTCCCTGGTCAAATGCCACCTCCCTCGAGAACCTTCTTTCGGTCCACTTGCCTGCAGTCGAAGATTGCTATTCCTTGCTCCTCGTGGTACGAACACCGCATAATGCAGCTACGGCTCTTGCGCAAGTTCTTACCACCTTCCACGAAAGATTGTGTCGGTCGCGACGAGGCTACAACCACAGTCCCGCAAAACAGCCGTGATTCCGGCGGCTTGCTCGACTCGAGTGCGCAATTCGGCCAGCGGCATTTTGGCAGCACGGGGCCATGCACCTTGTCGCATATTTTGCGCAATGCCAACCGAGCGGCAGCTACGAGGTTGCAACGCACATTTGCCATAAAACTCCTTGAGAAAGAACGGAAAATTCACAAAAAGCATCTCGACAACGGGATGTGAAAGAGGGCCTTGCGACTCCCGCAACCTGCAAAAACTTTCCCCCAGAGAACTCTGGGCGCTTACCTCGTGGGGGACCAGGCAATCTTCACGATTTGTCCGTTCTCCGTCTGGGTGGTCACCTGTTCTGGCGAGTCAAAGAGCAGCTAGGCCGAGTGGCATGACAGAGAGCTCACAGCGAGCAAGAAGGATACGGGCTTCTCGAAATTCCTCACGTCCCAGAGGACCAGCTGGTTCTGAAACAGACGAGAGATTCACCCCCAACGTTGCAGCTCTCAACCCCCGCAACCCCCGTCTCCCTTCAACGCCGGCAATCCGATCAAGAATGCCAAGGAGCTTATGTCAACCAGTACCCCGCAGTGTATCGCCCAAATCCCAAATCTAGAGCCCGTCGCAGTTGTTTGTTGCTTCGTACGGGTATTCGGGTAGCCGAGAAAGGTTTTTCGACCGAACGCACGGCCCGCAATGACGCTTCGTGTCTTCACGTTTCGGGCAGCGCTCCCGGCCGGTTGCTCCGTGCACCTGCCGGGGAACAAGGCAAGCAAGGGCTCCTCCGGCGCTCCTTCGGTTGCTGAGCGACGCCGTCATTTTCGTCGTACTACTCACGCTTGTCGGGAAGAGTACAGCTTTAAGAGAGGGTGTCCCCCACGAGTACCCTTACCCACATGAGTTTCCCGCATCCAACGTAGTTTACCCCCCTTCAAACTTTTTGGGAAGTCTGTCCGTTAAATCCTCCATTCCAACTTGTCTTTTCATTGCTCAAAAAAACAAGACCTACCAGTTACTTTACGCTTCACTCGAAATCCTTTCCGACGCAACGCCGGGCAGGCATAGACTTGTAGTTTTGGTCGCGGTCAAAACCCCATTCGCCAAATGGCTCGCGGCCGTGCGCACCCACCGCATGGAAGGAGGCGATGCGGTGCTCCGAGAAGGGGTCCACGCACACACCACCGCTCGCCTTGGTCGTGGTGCCGCTGCTGCGTGACGAGTCTGCGCCAGAGGTTGGGGCCATGCCCGGTGCGGGCGGGGCGCTCACCTCTCGTGTCGAAGATCTTTAGGTGCTTATTGTTCATGCCACACACGAAGCTCCGGGGCTGGTGGAAAAACCAGCTGAAGGACTGCGTCGACTCCGAGAAGCCTGCGTGGATGCCCGGAGTGCTTTCTCGATTGCTCACGCGACGCTCCAGAAGCACCCACCGAGCTCTGTCTGTCCTGGCAGGTGGTTCAGGTCCCAGACCAGGATGCAGTGGTCCCCCTTGTGCTTGTCCAGGCCCGCGGCCAGCTGCGAGGGGACGTGGACACTCTCCAGGCGGCTCCCAAAGACGCCGGTCCAGGCGACCGTGCCGCTCTCCAATTCCCATCTTCTAAACGTTTTGTCGCTTCGTTGGAAGCTCACTGATTCCGAGCACAACTCCTAAAAGTTTTCCGGAGGCACCGCCATTCCCGTCCCGAGGACCCACACCAAAATTGGCGACGGCTCTCTCTCCATTTCCAGGCGATTAATTTTTTAGAGCTTCATATTTCTCGCTCGCATCGCCGCTCTATTATTTTTAGCAGTGTCTACACTCGTTATGATTAATCTTTTCCGTTGATATTCGCGTATGTGCGTGTATATATTGTATTCTGCTTTGTACTCTCACAGCTTACCTTTAGAACAATGTGTCGCAGATCTTTGCCTACATCACGAACTACCACTGTCACAAGCTCCTAACTGCATCTTGCTACACAATTGTCTCATCGCCGTGACAACTCTCGCAACTTTAAACACATATCTGGTTCCACTGGTGATTTTAATCAATCATTTTTGCCACTCATTATCGCTAACTAGAAAAATCACTCTCGCGTCAATTAGCGACCCAAGGTTTCTAGAAAGTCTATTATTCCGCATTTTGTTAGATGCAATTAGACTTGACATACGCATTCTCCTTTATGTTAGGCTTTTGCGTGTTGTTTCTCGTTCTCTCGTTCATTTTCTTATCACATTCATAGTTCTCTCACTGGCGCTTTGTTTTCTTTGGGACTGCACCTTAGTGCTACTTTAGGCTTACTCACAAAAATGCAAATCTTACCGTTTTTTTGTTTTTTTTTCGTTTTTAAAGTTTTTAGTTATTCAGCGTCGTTACGTTTGCCATCCCGCTCCTTACGCAATTCCCTCCAAACGAGGCTCTTAAGGAAGAAAAAAATTATACGAACGAAAGAGGTTGGGGATAGCTCATCCCTACGGAGCTAAGACAACCTTTGCCATGGTGCATGTTCGTGGCACGTCTCCGCCCTTTACTCAATTTTGTCGATACACTTCTCGCCAAGATTGACCGCTCAGTCGTCCCTGGCGGGCCGGGAGAGTGCCGTTGTGGGTTGGTGCAGGCACGGCACGGTCCAACTCACCAGGCTGAACTCGACGGGGTTCCAGGCCACCACGTTGCAGCGCCGTGGTTGCTTGGGTGCTGCCGGTGGAGAACAGACAGAGAACAGGCACTCACTATCGAGGGACGCCTGAAACTCTTTCCTGCCATCCGCAACTTTTACGCCGTTTGTTGCCGTAGGAAGTGGGCAATACGGGACAAAGCGGGAAACGCTCCCATCTTGGTGGCGTCTCGACGCCGAAGTAGAATCAAGGACGCACATTTACATTACTAGTGTAAGTTTACCACGCTCATTGGTATTTACCGACACCTATGCCAAATATAAATTCACCGAGCCTGCGCAAAAAAGCGTCGCCAGGCGTATGACCAACCAATCTGATACCTCGCACCGGCCAATCTCATTGTGTGGCACAGATAACATTGGAAAATATTACAGTGTAGAAAATGTTCTTTGAGCATTTCTTTAAACTAAAATATTTCGTTAGATACGGCAGCAGTTCCCGAGATTTCGAGAATCGGCACGGTCGTCCCGGTCCACGCGAGTGGTACTTAATCGTCTCCTTTAAATTACAGACCTATCTCTTTCACTTCTGTACCTTCGAAAATACTTAAGCGCATAATCCACAAGCAACCCATCTTGACTCCATTTCATTTTTAATGAGGCACAATGTGGCTTCCGTAGAAATTTATCTCGTGAAACACGGCTTCGTCTCACTAATGACCTTTATTAATCTTCACTCCAGTTTTCCTACCAGTGCTACATTTCTTGAGTTTGCTAAAGCCTTTGACAAAATGTTGCATAACTGACTGCTCCTAAAACTTGTGTCATTAGACCCTGACATACTCTCCTGGATTCAACCTTTTCTCTTGCAACGTCGTCGGTAATGCTAACGACACTTCGTCTGGTTTAGCTCCCGTAACGCCTGGTGTGCCTCGGGGAACAGTTCTAGGTCCCCTTCTCTTTCTCATCTACATCAACCATCCACTTCGAGTATCTTCATCAATGTGCTTGTTTGCAGACGACTGTATAGTTCGTCGTAAAATAACATCCTCCCACGATACCACAGCGCTATAAAATGACCTTGACTCCATGAACAGCTGTCGTAATATTTGGCAAATGTCCGTCAACGTTAACAAATGCGCTTCTCTCGCTCCTCTAGAACAAACTAACAGATATAAAAGTGTTCCCCTAAGCCTTTCTTGGGATACGTAGTCAGTAATGTGTTCTGCCAACTGAAGCTTGGGTTACCCTTGTCGTAACCTCTCAACTTAGAACGGCTCCATTTCTTTGCTTCAATCTAACTTAGAATACCTACTCGTCTTCAATTTGGTGCCATAAGCTTTCTACATTGACAGACAGGTCAGTTTAAAGCCACCCGTTTCATTCAATCCGATTATTTATGTTTTGCCAGTGTTTCCCTACTCTCAACCCGGCGAAAAAATTTTCGTCTTTGCCTTCCGCACAAAGTCCTCTAGTCGCCGCCAGCTAAATCAGCGTCCTCTCTCCACCAAACTATTCTTCGGCAAGATTAGATCATTATAACAAAATAACCCGGCTGCTATGTTTTCCTACGGCACACCAAAACGCTCTTCTCCCCGACGCAACTGTGGACTGGAATGACCCTTCCGAAAACATTGCTAGTGTCGAGGGCCTCATCAGATTTTGGGAAGCCATTTTCAACATTGTGATTTAACATCCAATCCCCTCTCTAATGCCTCGTGACCCCGAGGGTATTGTACATAAATAAATAAATAAATAATTAATGAAAGAATCGAGTCCAATGTAGACATTGCTTTGGCATAACCCCGGACGACACGAAATTGGAAGGATGCAATCGTTATGTCGCATGCACGTGCACTTAAGTTTGGTGCGTTGCTTTTTCGCGCAATTTAGTAGAGATCCAGAAATTCATGCAATATCCAACCGCCAAATCGTTGGACGAACAAGCGTCGAAACCAGAGACCTTGACTACGGGTGGAGAGGCACCGGCCAACGCGTGCCGGCCGAGCTCCGAGCGAGCAAACCGAGCCAACGAGGAAGAGAAGAATGCAAGCGCACTCTCGGACTCACCAAACTCCTTGCCGACCCAGTCCGTGTCGTTGAAGGACCTTCCAAAGCTGCAACCAACCAACCCAAGGTGTGAGGTCCCGGCATCCAGAAAAATATTGCCACTACGGAAACCCACGGTGCAATCTTTGACTGCCCATTGTAATTTCTCAGGTTAGGTGCTTTGGGTGAATTATCGTAGGCAAGCAGTATGACATGAATTAGAGTCTTGCATCAATCGAGTTTCGGTCGGCGAGCATTTCGGCGACTCGCCCTTGTGAAGTGATACAAGTGTTCTGTTTCGGGACACGTGCACTGCAGGTTAAAATGTGCCCGCCGGTGCCTATTCCAACTCCAGCAATCGAGTTTTAAGACTGTCACGAGTGTGAGCCTCCAAAAGACAACTTCGGATTTCACTATACTGGAAAGACAGGTAGGTGAGTGTCTAACATTATTTCCGCGAAAATGTAAAAAGAAAAAATATGGCCCCGACCAATTGACTGCTCTACATTGGATCATCCTTTTGTTATTCGTGGTTTCTTGCATGTCAGCGCTACAAAGCTGACACTAAGTCTGACTTCGGTTGGGCCATTACCGCTTTGCTTCGACTACTGGCTACCTCAGACTAGCGCAATAAATAGAAGAGCACGCTCTATACTGCGGGGTTTCAACAGTGTTGTGCTCCGCTGTTTTTCATGATTTTGCCCATTACACGATTAGGAGTGCCATCCATACTAAATGGCTAAATTAAGTACCGATTAAATCTCGGCGAAATAAAAACAGCCTTTTTTACGGCAAAGCGAGCGAGAAATAATTGTCAAACACCACAAAGTCAATCAATAACCAGAGGACCCTGTTATAGCAGAAATGGTAACAACGTTCACAGCCTACGGGAAAGCAATGCCTAGGAACAGAACGTCAAACTCGCTCGCGGTGGTGCCGGGGGATCGAAGACACCTTCCTTTTTGCACGAACAACCAATCACGACGCAGGAAGGAATGCACAAAGAATCAAACTCTCGCGCACTCACAGACCGTCGAGCACAAGGAGAGCCAGACGTTTTCTTTGTGTTTACCTCATCTTAAGAACGTACACCGTGGGTGTCACAGTCGCATCTTGCACAGTGAGCTGCCGGATTACCTAGAGCTCAAAACTGCTTGCAAGCATTCGAAACAACTTACATTTTTCCAACGTCGTGGAAAAGGCAAAACTGAAAAATCGCGGCCACTTTTCGTTCTAACATTGAAGCACAAAACCTGCTTCGGAGAGCCTTCTATCGACCCACCTCGAAAAGAGACCGCATTACGTGCCATATTCCTGTGCCACGGTTTGTATGCATTGAATTGTCTAGAACCGAAATAAACCAGTTCCCAACAAACAATAATCCGGCAGCCGAAATATGATAACTTGAACCCCAAAAAACGGAAACAAAATCGATTTTGTAGTTTAACGGTTGTCGTCCGGGGGCGAAGGCCTGGAATGGGTTTCCAACCGGCGCATTTAGCACATCCTCAAAATGATCCCTCGATTTCTGCCCCACGACATTGCAGTAGTGTATGCTGGCGTCGCAGTGGCGGTACTGAACGTGCTGCTGCAGGATACTCTTCAGCTCGTCCACGGAAGTTTTGACAGCCACGAATTGGGACCCGACGCTCCCTCCTACTTTTTGCATCGTCGTGCCAACCTCCCACAACGAGCCCCCTTCTGCGACGTCATCGCCCAAGCTCCGAGACCGTTTCTCAGCCCGAGAAGTGCCCAGAGGAGACGTACCCGGCAAGGCTGACTTTCCCGTCATCCTGCCCCACGGCGAGCAGCAGCTGGGAGTTGGGGTTGAGGTAGCAGGAGAAGCACTGCGGCAAGAACGGGAGACCCTGAGCGGGCCGGGCGCATTAGCGGGCACCCGACAGCTTACCCTGAGGAACTGGAAGTCGGCGCACGTGGAGAGCAGCGCCGCGCCGGGAAGTACGTCTCGACCTGCGAGGCCATGTCCGTGAGACAGCGCTTTTCTCTGCACAATATAAGCTTTCTACTGGTACGCACCAGCCTCCCGCGTCGGGGCATCTCCAGCGGCCACCTCGTACAGCCGCAGGTCCCCGCCCACCAGCAGGAACCTGGGGGAAGTGAGCGTTCCTCGTACATCCTTGCGGGGGGCTCTCACCTGCTCAGCGGTAGGGTTTTTGTTGGTGCTAGAGCTTCCGAGCGAGCTGCGCTCCGTTCCCGGATATCCTCGGTTTTGGCGCCTTAGTGCGGAGCGGGCGCAATCGGCTATCGTTGCGACTCGAAAATGTCACTTCCAGACCTTTAAAGGGATGCTGAACCGAAATCTGGATAAAGCACGGCGGCAAAAGCATGCAACGGGATGCTAGAAACACCAAAACATCACTCATACAACGATATATCGAACGGATGACCGTATTTTTCAAAAAAGGAGGTGCATTTGACAGATATGTTCATGTCTTGTTTCTCCGAGAAGGAGAGGGAACGGCCTCACGTTTTTTACGCCTCGCCGCCTTGAGGGGGCAAAACGAAGAAAGGGGGAAACAAGATATCTTGATGTCACGCTCCTCGTCAACCTCATTCAATCTCAACCTTTTTTTTCCAAAAATATGGCTGTCGCTTCGAGATATCGCCTTACAAGTAATGTTGTAGGGATTGTAGCAATGCCGCCTACAGCTTCTGCATTGTTTTCTGAAATCCAGATTTCGGTTCACCATCCCTTTAAGGGGTATTCACAGGGGTAGAAGTCCCTGCCTTTGCTCCTTGGGATGCGGATCACGCGGTAACGACGTCACGCCCTTGCAGGCGCCGACATAGTTGTCCCGGGGGAATGGGCGAGCTATTCCTCGGGCTGCACAAACTGTCCCCGCCTCGGCGGGGGATATCTTCGCAGTTGGCGGTATTTTGTTCACGTGTCTGCCAACTTTACAGATTTTGCTCTACGGGATATGAAGACATGTGGGGGAACCACCCTACTTGGCAGATTATTTTTGGGTGAGATGCAGTCAATGCAAAGGGGAACAAAAAGGAGGCAGATTGGGAGTGCTAGTGAAAGGACAGGGCTGGGAAAGGGTGAGGGATAGCTGCAGAGAACACATGTGGTTAAAGGGTAATATTGGAGGTTTAGACACACTGATAGGAGTTCTCTATCTGAAAACGGGAACCTATTCAAAAGAAAATGCACAGCACTTGACCTGTATTTCCAAAGATGATGGAGAAACTGGCACTCACTGGGGAATAATTATCTAGGGAGACGTGAATGCACACTTGCCACGGTAGGAAGGAAACCTGTACTCCGGAGTCGGATCGAGTAACTTTTGGAACGCATCAATAGAGATCAGGGCTCCGAAGCGTGGCTCACTCTGGCTGCTCGGGGTCTCACGAAGACTCACCTGTCGGGGTGGGCGGGGCACCAGGCGACGTCAACGCGCGGACTGGCCATCGTCCGCGGCCGGCACGGGGACTGCGCGGAGGTTGATCACCGGGCCACGCCGGACACGCTGCTCGGTGGCTGTGCGGCACCTGCGTTGGCTTCAGTCGCCAACAAGCAAAACGACACGCTGTGCTTTTGGGGGGATCAGAGGCTCGTGTACTTTGCGTAGGAAATATTGGGGGAGGGGGACGGGGTAGGAATTCGAGCTGTTTAGTACAGCCCATGACAGCGGCTGCGTTTTCTCCCGAGAGGCAACGGCACTGCCCTCGACGCACGAGCGCCATCCATACATAGTCGGCAGTGCCACTGCAGACAATAGGCACAGCCGACGACCTGAAAACATAAGCGACTAGGCGACAGAACTTGCTCGAGTTTCTCGACTCCCCCAACAACCACCGGGTACGCGTTCAATCGCGTTTAACCGTTTCAACTTACAGGCTGTGGTGAGATAAAAGTCTACACACCGATGGTTTCCGAATGCAGGAACACCGAAGCTTTGACAGCTCGGGCGGTTCGGGTCTTCGTTTTCCGACAACGACGATCACACAACGCCGAAGCTGGCCGACGACCCCCTCTCTACAAACAGTACAATCGCGGCGAATGACGCGGATTGGATTGGATTATGGGCATTTAATCCTTCACGAAATAAATATAAAAAACGCGCACATCGTTTCAAACTATTATCTCTTCTTTTTTTTGTCTACGGCTTTTATAAATTTAGTCTACTGCGCAAAATGTGTTCGCTCTTCGCGCTAAGATGCCGCTTGATAGTTTTGTCCGTCCGGTCCTCGGCTGCGCGGCAGCCTCTTTTCGACCGGCGGCGGCGTGGCGGTCGTTTTGCGTCGACGGCGGTGGCGTCGGCGGCGGCGTCCGGTTGGTTTTGGTCAAGGAGGTTAGAAGTACTAGGAGGGGGCACGGTGCAATATTGGTGAAGCCTAGTCATAAAAAGTTTAAACGATTCTGTGCCCAGCGTGACCGCAGATCTCTCTGGCGATTGGTGCGCGTGACATGTCACGTGTGAGATGGTAGCGTTAGTTTCGCAAAGTAGGCTCTGTTTGAATTTTTGGCGGGAAGAGACGGTTTGTTCCCGGTCTAGACATGGGTCTAGATTTGGGTCGGCATGACAAGGGTGGGGACGAGTTGGTGCAGTGCGAGGGGTGTGGGAGGTGGTGTTACCTGGAGGAGACGGGTTTCGGGAGCCTGGAGGTGGCGGCGGAGGTGAGTTTCGAGTGTCGGCTTTGTGTGAAGCTTCAGCAGGTAACTGGGGAATGGGAGGGTAGAGTTCGGGAGATTGAGGCCCAGCTTAAGGCAGAAGGAGAGAAGCGGGTGGGTCTCGAGGCCCAGGTAGAGGAGCTGACTAGGCAGCTTAATCATGAGAGGGAGCAGCGGGTCGGCCTCGAGAAGCAGGCGGAAGAGCTGGGGGAAGTATGGAAGGCGGGTTTAGAGGAGCGTAAGAGGGAGTGTGACAGTAGGGTAGAGCGCCTGGAAGGGGTAATTCGAGCGAGTGAGAGTAGCGAGGGAAGAAAGGAGGAAGTGTCAGTTCTAGCGGGACGAACCACCAGTCTGCAGGCTGGGGTCCCTGGTGGTCGGGAGTCCGGCCTGTTGGCAGGCGGGCTCGACGACGCTGGAGAGCTGATTGAACCTCAGCTCAATGGCGCCTTCGAGCAGCAGGCGTCGGGCAGTCAGGTGACAGGAGATAAGTCGCAGGACAAAGGCGCGCAGGCACCAGGGGGATCTAGGGTACTGGTAGTGGGGAGCTCTAACGTAGCACGGGTTAGGAGGGGTGTACATAACAGGGTGAAGGGAGACCAGAGGGTAACCGTAGAGGTCCAGCCAGGGAAGTGTATGGTGGATGCTATGACCGCAGCACGTGAGGGGGTGTGGGATAACCGGGAGGGAAGGAACCTAGTAATAGTTCATGCGGGGCTTAATGATGTGCTGAAGGGTAGGAGCCAGAACCTCGGAAAGCAGCTAAACGTGGGAATACGTAAGCTGAGGGACGTGTCTGAGAATGTGCATGTGGTTGTGTGCACCATTCCAGAAGTTCGGGGGCAGTCCGGGTTAACGGAGAGGAGGGTTGTCGAAGCCAACGGAGTAATTAAGGGTATGAGTCGACAGCTTCGGTACGACGTAATGGAAGTAAACAGAGAAGTGTACGAGGCTGGCTCCCGCCCTTTTGCAGATGGCATTCACTACAGTGAGGCCACGGGTTACAGGGTGGGGGATAGGATGGGCCGCACGGTGACTGCTTTTTTGGGGGGACCGAGGGCCCTGGGGGCACTGAAGTAACTGAAAACCCAACAAAGTCAGGAGAGGCACCCAGGGTTAAAAAGAGGAGAAAACGTAAGAACAGGTATAAAAAATCAGCACAATCAGACATTGGATATATTAACATGCAGGGTGGTAGAAATAGGTTAAAATGGGAAGAGGTAGAGGAGCAACTAAGAAAGGAGGATTTAATGGTGTATGGGTTTGTGGAAACACATCTCAGAGACATGGAGCAGCCACCTTGCAACCCTGACTATGTGTGGGAAGAATGCAACAGAATGGAGGGAACGAGGAAGGGAGGTGGAATTGGAGCATTCATTAAGAAGAATATGAACTTTCAAAGGATCAGAAAGGAGTGCGCCGAACATTTGTGGCTGAAAGGAAAAGTCGCTGGGGAATCAACAGTCCTTGGAGTGGTTTACTTATGGACAGGGACAGGTGCTAAAGAGGAAAACAGAAAAATGATTGATTGCATATCAAGAGACATTAGTGAACTAGGGGAAGGCTCCGAAATAATTATTATGGGAGACATGAATGCCCATATTGAGGGTCTGGATGGGTATACGGACTCAACTGGAAGCATATTACTAGAACTGGTGGAAAAACATGACTTAGTTTTATGTAATACCAGTCAGAAGTGTGACGGGCACATAACTTGGGAAACTGGCAATCTGCATTCAACTATAGATTACGTACTCATGTCACACAAAATATATGGTAAGTTACAAGTAATGAAAATAGATGAAGAAGGTTCCAAAAGTCTTGGTAGTGATCACAAACGTATTAAGCTGAATTTTGCCAGAGAAGTAAATGCTGAAACTAGACAACATAATTCAAAGCAAACTTTCTGCAGCGACAAAGAGTTGGAAATAGTTGTTGAAAGAATAGAGGCAGCAGTTTCAGGGCAACGGCATACAGATTGGACCTATGAGAGCCTAACTAGGCTTTTTTCTCTAGAACTAGACAAAGTTAAGAGTAAACGAAAGGGGAAGCAAGGACATAGACCAAAAAGTTGGTGGGACAAAGAAGTGAAGCAAGCGATACAAAAACGTCAGGAAGCCTCTAGAGAACACAGGTATTCCAAGCGTAGTGGGGAGTCCGAAACGGAAGTAAAAAGAAAATGGGACAATTTTGTAACATGTCGCCGAGAGGCATCCAGTTTGATCAATGCGAAAATTCAGAGAAAGGGTGAGGAATGGATGAGTAATGTAAGTAAGAAAGATAGAAATGCTGCCAAGAAGTTTTGGGAGCACTTGAACTCGCTCGGTGAAACAACGCAAGCTAGACAGAGGTTTATACTCTCGCATCAGGGAGATCAATTAGAGGGAGATGATGCGATACAATATATAGGAGCAGTGATGGAGGAGAAATTTCGGGAACGGGTACATGTGGAAGATAGGAGAACCGAAGGAAGTAGCAGTCCAGTTTGTGACATCGCGGATTTTGGACACAGAGAATGGGAAAAGGCGGAACGAAGAGTCCCTAGTGGCACGTCGACAGGCACAGATGGTATCCCTATCAAGCTGGTGAAGAATTTGGGTCCTAAATCTAAGGCAAAACTAAGGGAGGTAGTGAGTACCATGATAACAAAAGGAAATATTCCAGATGAATGGAGGCTTAGTAGGATGAGTATGATATATAAGGGAAAGGGAGATAAGTCTGATATTAGGAATTATCGTCCTATAACCGTGACACCGGTTATTTACAGGTTGGTAATGCAGATTATAAAGAACAGACTGGAGGAATGGGTAGATTGCGAGGGCATACTGGGCGAGTTACAGAACGGGTTTCGAAAACAAAGAAGGTTGGAGGACAACTTATTTTCTCTAACACAGTGTATAGAAATAGCGCAAAAAGAAAACAGACAGCTCTGGCTGGCATTTCTGGATATCAAGGGTGCCTATGACAATGTGAACCAAAGAAACCTGTGGGACATAATGGAGAACTTAAACCTAGATGAAGGACTAACAGCACTATTAAGGAACATTTACAAAGATAACAAGGTGATTATAACATGGGAAGGAAAGGCGACAGGGAAAATAGAGATAAGACGAGGCCTTAGGCAGGGGTGCCCGTTATCGCCTTTGCTGTTTATGTTGTATCTGAGAGGATTGGAGGATAGACTAGAGAAGAGTGGGCTTGGGTTCAACCTTTCTTACAGTAAGCTAGGCCAAAAAATTCAGCAATCCTTACCGGGATTGATGTATGCGGACGATATTGTACTAATGGCTAACAACAGGACAGAGTTGCAGGAATTAATGAGCATCTGTGGTAGGGAAGGAGAGGAATTAGGTTTAGAATTCAGTAGCGAAAAATCGGCAGTCATGATTTTTAACGAGGATGAAGTTGAGAGGCTGAAGATACAGAATATTACAGTTGAGAGAGCTAGTAAATACAAGTATCTAGGAGTATGGATATGTGATGGTGCAGAATATCTCAGAGACCATGAAAAGTATATAATAGGTAAGGGCAACAGAAATGCAGCTGTAATGAAAAATAGAGCACTTTGGAATTACAACAGGTATGAGGTGGTGAGAGAGATTTGGAAAGGGGTCATGGTGCCTGGCTTGACTTTTGGAAACGCAGTGCTATGCATGAAATCCGAAGTGCATGCGAAACTAGAAATAAAACAGCGCGGAGTAGGTAGACTGGCTTTGGGGGCGCATTGCAAAACGCCAAACCAGGGAGTACAAGGAGACATGGGATGGGCATCATTTGAGAGCAGGGAAGCGGTGAGCAAGGTAGAATTTGAGGATAGGTTGAGGCTAATGGATGGGGAGCAATGGGCACGAAAGGTTTTCAGCTATTTATACATGAGGAGTGTAGACACAAAGTGGAGACAGCGCACTAGGAAATTAAGAGGAAGGTTTTTGGGCTATAGCGAAGATACGGAAGAGCAAGTCTCAGTTAAGAAGAAAGTTAAGGCCACAGAAAGAGATCGGTGGCTAGAGGGAATGCAGACAAAGACTGCTCTGGAAAGCTATAGATTAAACAAAAGAGTTATTGCCAAAGAAAGCATTTATGACAATTCTAGGGGAAGCTCATTGCTGTTTGAGGCAAGAACGGGTGTTCTGCGAACCAGAACATACAGAGTGAAGTACCAGGAAATTGATACAGTGTGCACTGCTTGTGGAGAGGAGGACGAGACGGCTGAGCACTTGATACTCTACTGTAAAGGGCTTCACCCTATGCCTACCGAAGACAACATAGATTTAATAAAGTCATTGGGTTTTAGAGACAGCGAAGGGAGAGTGGATTTCAAGACTGTAGAGATTACCAAGCAAAGATTAAGTGAATGGTGGCAGAAATCGAGAGAAAACTAGGTATTTTC